GACCGTGGCCAGTGCAGGTCAGCTCTGGGTCTGGGGGTGAAAGGCTCCTGGGTTAAAGGTGCTCTCATAGGATATAGGTCCTGATGGGAGGTGCTGAACTCACCACGGTTGTGACCTTGGAAGGTCCTTCTGTGGCCGTCAGAGTTTTGCTGGAAGGTCGTCAGGAGAGGCTCTGCTCACCACATGACCCCCTCCATGTGTTCTGCCATTACCATCTCCTGCCTGTGCAGAGCTCAAACACGGGCTGCCTCGTCCTGGATGCAACGCTCCAAAGCCATGAGCCAAATGAGGCCAGCAGGTGTTCCTTAGTGATGGGCAAGCTGACTGGTGCGCCTGGGTTACAGAAGGTAGCTGAGTCCAGGGCTTCAGAACTGTTCTTCACACAGGACCCTTAGGCAATGCTAGCCCACTGACCCCTCCTGCACAGACCCTCCCTTTTCAGCACCCTGACCCCTGGAAGCTGTTTCTGTTTCTTATGTACTCCCACCAACCTGGGGGTTGGCATGTTTTTATCTTGACCCAGTAGAAGGTTAAAAAAAAAAACAAACTTAGGGTTTTTTTTTTTAATTAAGATTAATCAATTTATTTGAAAGTCAGACTTAGAGAAATCTTCCATCTACCTATTTGTTCCTGAAATGGTCTCTGTGGTTGGGGCTGGGCCACGCAGGAGCCAGGAACTTCTTCTAGCCTCCCACGTGGGTGCAGGGGTCCAAGCACTTGGACCATTCTCCCCTGTTTTCCCAGGTGTGTTAGCAAGGTGCTAGGTCAGAATTTTTGCAGCATCTGACATTTGAACCAGCACTCAAATGAGATGCCAGCAGTGTAGGTGGCAGTAAGCCAGTTACATCACAATGTAGGCCCTAGTGTTTTTTTTTTTTTTGAAAGATTTGTTTATAGCCTTGGCTATCATAGGCATTCAGAGAGGAACCAATAGCTGGAAGATCTCTTTTGTCTCTGTTGCTCTGCTTTTCAAATAGAAACCATTTTAATGGCTTTATTGAAGTATTCACCTACTATACAGTTCGCCCATTTGAAGTCTACAACTCAGTAACTTTGAGTGCACTCACAGACATGCGCAGTTTTCACCCTCGTCAAATGCCGAGTAGTTTTATTTCCCTGAAAAAGACACCACCACCCTGAGCAGTCACCACTCAGCTCTCCCAGCAACCAGCCTTTGGCGTCCTGGATCTCTGGGTTTGCCTGTGGTGGGTGTGGTATACAAATGGGATGCAAATGAGCGCATGGGGCCTTTGGGACCCGTTTGTTTTCTCAGTGAAATGTTTTCAAGGTTCATCTGTGGGTTAGTGCTTGCTTCCTTTGTACTGTTGTAGAGTATTCCATTGAATAGATGGACTGTGCTGTGTTGATCCATGTATGTATGGGTAGACAGACATTTAGGTATTTCAACTTTTTGGTTACTATAAATAATATTGCAATGAATATTCTTGAGAGACTTTGTTATTGCTGTTGTTTTACAGCTTTTATTTATTTGGCAGGCAGAGACAGAAAAAGAAATCTACCTGCTGATTTAGTCCCAAATGTCCACAGCAGCCAGAGCTGGTCAGGCTGAAGCTGGGAGCCAGGAGCTCAGTCCACCCAGCCCACGTGGGGACAGTGACCCAGCGGCCTGAGTCATCACCTGGCACCTCCTAGGGTTGGTGGCATGGGAAGTGGAGCCAGGACTGGGAACCTTGACTCTTGAAGTGAGATGCACCAAACACCTTCCCCCTGGTGTATGAGTTTTTGTGAGGACGTGTATTTTCACTTCTCGTAGAGGAATTTTATATAGCTCTGGAAAATTACCAGACTGTTTTTCCAAAGCCCCGGCTTTGACAGACCACCCTCTGACAGTCTGGCAGCCCCTGAGGTCCCAGTTTCTCCTCATTCTCCCCAAACTTTCTACTGCCTTCTTCATGTATGGGTGACTTGGTGAAGTAGCAGCCATTGTGGTTTAATTTGCATTTCCCCAAAGGTTAATAATGTTGAGTTTTTTTCATATGCCTCTTGGCAGCCTTTGGAATGTCTTTAAAGAAATGTCCATTCAGATGCTTGGCCCATTTTTAAATGTGGTCATCTGTTACAGTTGAGTTGTAATCATTTTTTTAAGTTTATTTTATTTTTTTTTATTTGAAGCATAGACAAACAGGCAGATTCTCCATCCCCTGGTTCACTCCCCAGAGTGAACAGTGTAAACAAAGAGAACAGGCAAGACCAGGCCAGGAGGCCAGGGCCCTGTCCAGGTCTTGCACATGGATGCTAGGAAGTCACGTGAGCCATCCCTGAGTATCGCCCAGGAAAGTTGGATCACAAGTAGAGACAGAGTGAGAAAGAGTGATCTTCCATCTACTGATTTACTCCTCAAATGACTGAAACAACCAGGGCTGGGCCAGACTGAAGCCAGGAACCAGGAACTCCATCCTGGTCTCCTGCCTGGGTGGCAGAGGACTGAGCACTTGGACCATCTTGTATCAGCTTCCTAAGTGCGTTAGCAGGAAGGTGATGCATTGGAAATGGAAATCAGCACTCCAGTAGAGCATGCCAGCTTTGCACATGGTGGCTTATCACACTATATCACACCAGTCCCTGTGGTTGCTTATTATATAACTTGGTTTAACTACTTAGGTCACAGTAGTTTTTAGAGAGTTTGTAAGACTGTTCTATGTATAATGCAGCCTACCGCTCTGAGCTTGCAGTGGTAAAGGCTTCTTCCCTCTGCTCCCGTGGTGTTGTGACAAGTGTTACAGGAAGGGCAGCTGAGGAGCTGGGAAGCTTGGCTGTGTCACATGAGGCTCACTGAGCAGCCAGACATCCTTGCCTGACCCCCAGGGGACAGGACAGTCCTGGCTGGAGGTGTCAAGCCTGGAGTATAAGGTCAGGTTGGTCAGGTCACAGTGGGCTGGTGGGAAATGTTGGGATCCATGGGACTCTGTGTGCCCAAGCCTCTGTCTCCATCATCTTGTCTTTGCAGGCACAAAGCCAGCAGGCTTGCCTCTGCTGCGGGCTACTGGTCAGTCTTTGTCTCAGCACGTAGTGGGCACTGGTACAACCTGCTGGGCCTATGCAGTCAGTGCTCAAAAATGAGAAACATCTAATTAGGGACCAGCTTTGTGGCATAGCAGGTTAAGGAGCTGCTTGAGATGCTGGCATTCTGTGTCGGTGTGCTGGTTTGTGTCATGGAGTTCCTTGCGTCCTGGTACCAGGAGACCTGCTAGAGGCTTAGCAGTGTCATCACATACTCTACAATCTAGAAGACAGCTCCAGTGCCTGGCCCTAGGGACAGCAGGTCAGACTGGAGGCCTCTCACTCAGTGGAGGGCTTTGGTGCTGAGAGAAGGAGCCAGTTGCCATGAGATACAGAGCATGAGGAAACTCAAGAGAGGCTCCAATCCAAGGTCTGACAGTTGAAACTCATTGCCTTGGCATCTGATGAAGATGGTGGTGGTAGTGTGTGTGGAGGGTCACGTGACACTCAGCCTGGAGGTAGGGGGGATGCCATTAATGCTCTAAGGCCCTCCCACTTAAGACTTGGCTTTGCGAGTCTTGCATGAATTCCAGAGCCAGATCACGTGCAAACCTGTGGCAGTGTGTGGGAGGAAGTGACACTGACTCTGCATCTCTGCCCTGCGGTGGGTGCGTTGTGTGGCCTCAGTAGGTGACAGCACCTCCTCCCCCGTTTGCTTTTATCTGTCTGCTGTAGTGATATGTGGTGGGTTGGCATGCAGAGTGATGAGGTAGCACTTGTAAAACATGCATAGCAGTGTCCTGTACCCAGTAAGCCTCTTCTAAGTGCCAGCTGCTCTCATTACTGTGTTATAAACGTTCTTGGGACTGGAGACTTGCCTGGCTGTCAGGTCTCCTCATATCGCATTTCAGAGTGCCTAGGTTTGATAACCTGGCTCCGTCTGCTGCCTGCCCGCTTCACAGTGGTGATGGCTTCATGTGCTTGGGTCCCAGGTTAAGTTCCTGGATCCTGGCTTCAGCCTGACCCAGCTCTGACCTTTTCTGGGCCGTCCTCTTCTGCTTTGCCAGGTACATTAGCAGGGAGCTGGTTCGGAAGTGGAGCAGCCAGGACTTGAACCTGCACTTTGCTATGGGATGCTGGTGTCACAAGCTGCAGCTTAAGCAGGAAATGTTCATTCGTTCTTTCTTTCACACCTGCATGCATGCAGCAAACCTAGCAGCATAGTACATGGAAGACCCCGGTGTCCCTGACCCTGGCGCCCCCTGCCTGGGGAAGGGTTGGATTTATTGTACAAGGTGTGGAAAGGTTGGTGAGACTGCACTGTTGAGTGCCCTGTGGCCATTTTCCTAGAGGATCCCCAAGTGTTACACTGTTGTGTTCTTTGCATGCTAAGCCCCCTCCCGAGTCAGAACCCTATGGTACAGTGATGCTGGGTTCCTGGGAGTCTGTAAAATGTTCCCAGGCTCAGGGAGTCTCTGAGAACAAGGGTATCTGTTAGGGTCAGGTCCTAGGAGGCACAAATTCCAAGGTGGAGTCCTCCCTCCCAGGAGGGACAGCCAGGCTCCGGGGCGTTCCCTCACGGGGCCCAGACCCCACCCAGTATGGCTTCAGTGTGTGATCAAGGGTGGCAGTAGCTGTGTTCCAGCAGTGGTTGTGGGTGAGGGACCCAGGAGCCTAAGGATATGTTCTCGGGCACCAGTGCTGGAAAGCAGACCTGTGACCCGAGGAAATGCATCTGTGTTCTGGATGCTGGGAAGCAGCTGTGTCCACTGAGTGGGGAGAACTGGGCCATCCTTCTGAACTTCTGGTCACAGCTTCTCCAGTCTGCCACTCTGCCAGCTGCTACACACCCTGAAAACCCTGCTTCAATGGTACTCTTCTTGGGGAGAGCCTTCCCTGATAGCCCCACCCTCAGATGTAGTTGCCACAGACCCCTGCCTCTGCTGCCAGTGCCTCCTGGTCTCCCCTAGGGGTGGGCTTGCTGAGGACCAGGCCTAGCCGGGCTGCCCCCCAGGAGCTCGATGGTGTGTCCTTCCCAGCCATGCCACTGCAGGAGTCCCTGGGCTTCAAGGTGGCCGTGATTGCCTCCATCGTGAGCTGTGCCATCATCCTGCTCATGTCCGTGGCCTTCCTCACCTGCTGTCTCCTTAGATGCATGAAGAGGAGTGAGCAGCGGCGTTCTAACAGGTACATGGCATTGCCCAGGGCTGGGCTGGGCTGGGCTGGGCCTGGGGGAGCACTCCTGGCATGGGAGGAACAGACACAGGCTTCACAGAACTTTCAGTTCTGATCCAGGCCTCCTAGTTAGCAAGCAAACCCAGTGGTACACTGGTAGTCGTGGCAGGGCAATGCCCAGGTCTGTGAGGAGCTTAGCCAGGCAGTGGGGCACTGAGGACCCTTCAGCCTGTGCAGAGCGTGGTACAGCCATCAAAAGTAGAATTGGGTAACATGACCCATCTTTCTGCTGCTTTCCAGCTGCCAGTGCAGGCTTTATAAGAAACTGACTGCCAGGCCTCACACACCACACACACACCACACACACACAACACACATACCACACACACACCACACACACACACACACATAACACACACCACACACACACACCACACACACACAACACACACCACACACACACACACACGACACACACACACACACACACACACACACAACACACATACCCTGCACCTTGTGGGCAGCACCCAGGCTCTGTGGAGCACACAGCTGCCTCCGTGCACTGTGGCTAGGGGTGCGCGCATGCTCAGGGCCCTTCTTCCTGACTCCTGCACAGGTCAGCCCAGCTGTGGCACCAGCTGAGAGGTGAGGACCTGGAGACAGTGCAGGCTGCGTATCTGGGCATCAAGGGGCTCAACTTCAACAACAGCAACAGCAGCCCGAGGAACCAGCGTGCTCAAGCGCATGACAATCACAGCTTCACCAGGTGAGCAGGGGCTGGGATGGGAGTGACTGCACCTTGGAATCCCAATTCACCCTCCAAAGGTGGTCCTTCTAGTCCCCTGATGTGACTATGATGTCCTGGCCCTGATGGTCTGCACCCCCTCTCCTTCCCCACCTACACCTGTATTGCCGTCAACGCTGGCTGGACACCTGCGGTCCAGGATCATGTGCAATCCTGGACCACCGTAGAGGGACTTTCCTGGCATGGGCTTCTGAGTTCTGGCCGGTGATCTTGCACAGAGATGCCCACCTCACTCTGTCTGGTGTTGACCAAGCTGAGTTACACATTTCTGAGCAGGCGTACATGCAGATGTTACACACTGGCCAGGCTGTCCCTGCTGGGTATGCTGCTGTGGTCTCTTGGTTGAGACAAGTCTCCAGGTCCCCTACTATCAGTATGTGAAAAAGGGCTCAGCATCCGGCATGGTCCTGCTGGGCCTCTCGGGTTGGAGCTGAGGCACCGTGGCCTTGGCCGTTCTGTTACGATTCTACAGAAAAGGCATCAGCTCTTTCTGTGTCTCTTCTTTTTTTCTTTCTTTTTTTTGTTTGTTGTTGTTGTTTTGTTTTGTTTTTGTTTTGCTGTCTTAACATCACTCTGAACTCTTGGATTTTTCTCCCACCTAAAACTTGTTTTGGGAACATGTCATAAATACACAGTAGAAAGAACAGTGTGTGGAACTCCCTGGCTCTCTCCCACCTTACAGTCACCTGTAGGCCCAGCCATGTCACTACCCTGCATGCTTTCCATGGGCTGCAAGTCCAAGTTAGTGTCCCCTGACATGCCACCTTGTGTGGTGGTCCCAGGCCTGTGTCCTCCCTCTCTGGGGGACCCTGAAGTCAGCACTGTTCCAGGAGCCCTACTCATACGGTGGATCAGGGGCCAGTGCTGCCCGGATGCTTCCACTAAGTCTGCATGTGTGCCCCTGCTCCCCGCCCAAGGAAGAGCTCAAGGAGCACTGGCCACCAAGGTCATTGTTGTTCTTGTCCTTGTGTGGGCCAGGACACTGGGACAAAGGCCATGGCCTGTGCCATCCTGTGTGCATGAGAGACGTGCTGGAGCCAGCCAGTGGCTGCGGGAAATCAGTCCTCTTTCCTGTTGCCCCACCCAAAGCCCCAAGTGCCTGTGAGGTCATAGAGGCCTCAGCAGACACGCCACCTGCAGCCTCTGGCCACAGTTGGCTACAGCCTGGCCTGAGGCCACCTCCCTCTCATTCTTAGCAGCTACCTATCTTGGTCCGTCCTCTGCTGTTAATCGCTCAGAACCACAGACTGGCTAAGCTGTAAAGGAAGCAGGTTTATGTGGCTCCAGCTCTGCTGCATGGGGGAACAGCATCTAGCAGTGGCCTTGATGGCAGGGCATTGTCTGGGCAGAGACTGGGCATGTGCACCTTTGTGTGGAGTGAGCGTGTGTGCACCTGTGTATGGAGTATACACGTGTGTGTCCACCTTTGTGCAGAGTGAGCACATGTGTGTGGAGTGTGCACGGGAGTGTGTGCCCCTGTGTGTTTCTCTTCTGATCTCCTTTTACAGGCTGTCCAGGGCTTCCCCCATGATGAGTTCATCCACTCACCATCACCTCCCAAAGGTTGCCCTCCCTGCCCCAAACACCACAATCAGCTGAAGCTTCCACTGTGCTTCTCTAACAGAGGGATTCATTTCAACCTGTGTGAACATGGGATTGCTCAAAACCATAGCACCTCATACTATTTCAGATGTTCTAAGATCCCTTTAGATCTCCGCCAGGAACCTGTCAGGCTGTGGGGGTGTGTCTTTGTGCTTCAAGCTATTGTTTGTTTCATTCTCTCAGAAAATTATCTTATTTAGTTGAATTGCAGAAAGGAAGACATACAGAGATCTCCCATCCAGTGACCCAGTCCCCAGATGCCCGCGGTGGTTGGGCTGGACCAGACCCAAGCAGGGAACACAATTCAGGTCTCCCACATGGGTGTCAGGGACCAGCCATTTGCACCATCACCCAGTGCCTTGCAGGGTATGCATTAGCAAGGGGGAAACAGTAAGAAAAAACAGCCAGGACTCAAACGCAGACACTTAGTTGTGGTCCCCGCACAGCATCTTAGCCACTGAGCCACATGCTGATAGACCTCTGGGAGAGCCTAGGAAAGAGCTGAGGTCTTTGTCCAGGATTCCAGGACAAGCGAGTTCAGCTCCATTCCTGCCACAGCCATGGAGCCTGTGAGTATTCCTGCTGTGCCTGCTCGCTGCTATCTGTGCAGCAGCTCTAAGTGCCGCAGGTGTTTGCTGTGGAGGGAGGCCTGTTTTCTCCATACCTGGCCAGTAGGAGTCACTTTTTGGCTGTGCTGGAATTGACCTGCTGATGCTTTCCTCCCAGCGACTGGGGGCTCCTTGACTAAGGGGAGAACCCAGCCCACAGATCTGGTGCAAGTTTCCCGGGGCTTTTTAGACGCCTGCCTTTGTGTGTAGTCACATCTCCTAGGCTGCTTCCAAAGCCTCTCCCTTTCCCCTCTGAGATCCTGTCCTCAGTACAGAGCTGCAACAGGACTGACCTGTGTCACCACTAGGAAAGTCCCTCAGGGAGGGGCAACGTGGTGTCCTGCCTGCTGGCCCCAGCTGTGGCTGGCCTGAATGGGAAGTTCAGGGATTCCTGGGGTACGCACCCAGGGGTGCCAGCTGTTAGACCTGAGGACGTGTGCTGTACACAGATGGGCCCCTTCCTGTGGAGCGGGAGAGGTCTCAGGATGGGATGCCTGAGGGTGCCCAGAGGGGCTTTAGGAGGCAAGTCCAGAGGCCACTCAGAATCTACTCCAGTCATCCAGCTCAAGAAACAGGAAGTAGAAGTGAGGCCAAGAGGGAGTAGCAAGGAATGCTTGGAGCAGACTTCTCCCAAGCTCTCCCTCACGTGGGGACCCCTGCTTAGCATTCTGCTCAAGTCGGTAGGGACTTTGATTCTGGCTCTGTTGTGGGGTGTGTGAGAGATCACACTGAACCCAAGTATAGGATGTTAGGAGGAGTCTACCGCCCAAGCCTGGTGACAGCAGCTCCCACTACACTCCAGGAGCCATTGCACTGAGCAACACGAGTCAGGGGTTTTTAAACCCTCATCCTCCAACCAGATTGAGAGCCACACAGTACAAAGTTTCCATGTACAGGAAACAGGAAGGGAGTTACCAGAGCCCAAAGTTTTCCTGTAGTTAACTCACCTAAGGTAACACAACGGGAGGAGCCCGGTGTGCCCAGCCTCCAGAGCAATTTCCATGCTGTCAGTTGTTGCAAATGGTGCAGAAGACAGGAGGGGCAGGATGTACTTTTTGTGCCTTCAGTTAACCTGAATGGTGCCAGAGGAGGTAGGAAGGGTGCGGTCTGGAAACTCCATTTCAGTTTGCTGTCAATTAACCTGACACGCCATGTGTGCCATCAATGGGGGCGCGCCATTACAGCTCTACCCACCGTGGTACATCACCCGCCTCTCAAGCAAGGCCCAGGCTGCCCAGTGGGTCCTCGGTTGTCCTTCTGGAGGGCAGGTTTGCCCTTTGCGCTTGCTCTTCTTTCATTAACCCTTTCCTGTGGTATGCCAGGCCCTCGCACACGTTCACTCTTAAAGAGGACCTCATTTTGCTGGTAAAGAACTCTATAGTCTGGATTCCCTTAGTCCAGCAACTCACTCACCCGGCGCCTCCCTTCTCTGCCTTCCTTTCCATTTAACTTACTCTCTGACCTGGCAGGTCATTTCTTGATCCCTATGCCTAGAGTTGTTTCTGTGTTGTGTTGTTTTCTGAGGATTCGGTGTGGGTGGAAGGCTTCCTGGAAACCTCTATACCTGAGGGAAAGGCACTAGGGTACAGGGAGCACGTGAGAGCCTGGGCGGGTGGGGCAGAGTGACCAGATGTCCTAGTGCAGCCAGGGTCCCGTGAGCCTGACAAGTGGCGTATTTGTGTTTGGGACTGCAGGAGCTCCAGGAATGCAGAGGGTGCTGAAGGAGGTGGGCTGACTCCAGGGTGGGGCTGGCAGGGGGGGAGGATGGATCCTCCTCCTCGGACACGCCAGGCCTAGCAGCAGGCTGCTGGAAGTTTACATACCCTCTGCATAAGCCCTGTCAGCCCCTTCCTGCCTTCTAGCATCTGGGGCCCTGGCCACCCCCTGCTCCTGTGAAGGAGGGACACAGGGTCCAGTTGGCAGCAGGACCTCCAGCCCTCGGGACAGTGGTCTGCCCTGATGCCCAGATCCCCGTACAGGTGCACCTTTTCGCTTTCCCCAGTTCACGTCTTTTCTCCCCACAGAGAGCTCGAAGGCATCCGAGACCTGGACGGTGTGACCCGCAGCGTGGACAAGGACCTCGGGAGCCTTGCACTCGGTGCTGTGAGCCCCAGCGGCCCCTCCAGCAGCTCCCACGCCTGTGTGATGGTGCACACAGAACAACTTGGACAGACCCTCTCTGCACCTGGGCCAAGCACAGCTCACTTTCCAGGATGACCACGCTGCCAGGGCCAGTGTCACCATCCACACTGGGAGAACCAGGCTGACGGACCACCCAGCTGATCACCCGCAACGGAGCGTGTCTAGCTAGAGACTGGTCTGAGAAGTCAGCCTTTGGGTGGAAGGCCTCCCGGGGTTGCCTTGGTGCTGAGTGCTGGGGGCCCAACGGGGAGTGGTCGGTCCCGAGGAAGCCCAGCTACAGTGATTTTATAGTGGTTCATTCGCAGCTCCTGCTTGGGTTGGCACCGTGGTGCAGCCTCCCTCTAACCAGGGTTCCTTAGAGACTGGGAGACTTTTCAATCAGATCTAGTTTTTTGCATAGTAGATTAAGAGCAATAAACTTCCTTTCAGCAACTGTAGGTGGTGACCTTGGCCTCTTCCTCAGCAGAACATGCCGCTATGGAACTGGAGACCCACGGAGGGCTCCACGCACCCTGTTAAGATTTTTTTTTTTTAAGATTTTTAATTTATTTTTATTGGAGAGACAGAGAAGATGATCTTCCATCTGCTGATTCACTCCCCCAAGTAGCCACAACAGCTGTAGCTGAGCTGACCCGAACCTTGGAGCCTGGAGCTTCCTCCAGGTCTCCCACGTGGGTACAGGGTCCCAAGGCTTTGGGCCGTCCTCTACTGCTTTCCCAGGCCACAAGCAGGGAGCCTGATGGGAAGCAAAGCCATGGAAATACATACATATGGGAACCCGGTGCATACAACATGAGAGCTTTAGCCACTAGGCTACCGCGTCGGGCCTATGGTGCAGTTCTGATGCTGAAAGATGCAGAGGTAGAGGGGGTCGCTGGCCTGAGTGTCCAGTCCTCCACCTAACCAACCTCGTAGTGACACAGCGGTGCAGTTGCTTGTTACTCTATCAGTACACTGGGTCTCCCAGGCCCCACTGGGCAGTAGTCACTCGACGTGTCTGCTGTCAGCCCATGGCTCACACGTGGGTCATGCTGAAGCTGGGCCATGCTCAGGTCGGGGCTGTGCCTGGCTGCCAGGAGTGACCTCGTGTGTGCAAGGTGAGACTCCTGGGGCACGCCCCAGCTGAAGGCCTTGTGTTTGGCCATCGAGACCCTGACCTTGGCCCTCATACCCTGTTGCTTCTGCTGTGTTCTGTTCATCAGGAACCAAGTAAACTCCAATGATGGAGGGGATGCTGGACTTCACTGCCTGGTAGGGGTCCTGGGTCTGGTTTCTGTTACTATGACAACATACCAAAGCAAGCTACTTATGAAGATATTCTTAACCTCTTAAGACCTTCTGTCTGCTGGTTCAGTTCCCAAAAGCCCTCAGCAGCCAGTCCCAGACCACACTAAAGCCAGGATCTTCAACATGGGTGGAAGGGATCCAATCCCTGAGCCATTTTCTGCTGCCTTCCAGGGTGCACATGCACAGGAAGTTGGCCTAGAAGCAGAGGCAGGACTTGAGCCCAGCACTGTCACACAGGATACAGGTGTCCTATGGTGGCTAAGCTGCACCACAACGCCCACTCCCTTTCATGTGAAGTGATTCAGGCTCCTTTTAGAATTACCTTCCTGTCCCTCTCCAGGGCAGCCCCAGTGACCTCAACAGCTCTTAAAGGCTCCACCATGCTGGGGCTAAGCTCCCAAAACTTCAGGGACACTCCAGCCACGTCTAAACCAGAGCAGGGGAGGAGTGACAAAAAGCTGGCAGAGCTGCTTTAAAGTTCAGTCGCTGTATTGGAGCACCTGCTTGGGCCACAGCTGCTTTGCTTCCAACCCATCTCCCTGATCATGTGCCTGGGAGAGCAGCAGAGGATGGCCTAAGTGCTTAGACTCCTGTCCCTTGTGTGGGAGACCCGCATGGAGTACTGGGGGCCCGGCTTCCTTCTTGTGGCTGTTGTAGTCACATACAGAGTTAGACCAGCGGCTATGAGAGCTCTCCCTGTGTCTCTTGTCTTTCCCTCTGTCACTCTACCTTTCAAAAAAAAAATCCTTAAAAATAAATAAAACCCAGGAACTTGTTAGAGTGAAACTTAACTCCCCTCAGGACTGGTTCACAGAGCAGACCTGTGTGCGCATGTTCAGGACTTGGTCTCAGACATTTGTGCCTGCTGCCACTTCAGATAAACCCAGACCTCATACTATAGCTCCAGGCCCCCCTTTATCACCTCTGAGCCTCATGGTTGTCCTGGGCCAGTTTAAAGCATACGTGTGTACCAGGGGAGCAGTGTTGTGGCACAGTTAGTTAAGCTGCTGCCTGCAAAGCCAGCATGCCCAATGGGTGCCGCTTTGAGTTCCAGCTGCTCCACTCCTGATCTTTGTAGGTCTGCCTTTGATATAAACACATAATAGATACCTGTAGCCCTCAATAATTTGCAGTGTGGCCTCTCAGGACATAGAGAAAGGGCTGAGGTTTCCCTTTGATTTTTCCTGCCTGGAGGACTGGGAGCCACACTGGGGCTGTAAGACGGAGCTGGCATTGAGGAAGAAACCCTGCCCCATGTATTCCCTTGTCTGTTGAAGCTGGGCTTGCCATGGTGTCACTCACAACCGATTTCCTGAAGCAGGCATCACAAAGGGGACATTTATCAGACATCCCACAATTCATGGCATAATCCCCAGCCAAAGGCATTTCATATTCTTGGCCGTCACATGGCAGATTCAGCAGGTGCCCTTTGAGGCTGCCATTTCTGGAGTGGAAGAGTGAGTCTGACTTTTCATTTCATGCTTGGGGAACGTGGTCACCTGCAAAGCACAGGCCTCACAGGACAGCAGCTCCTGTCTTTTGAGGTTCTTTGGCAGGCCCAGGAAAGGGTGCCCTGAGGGTTCTGTGGGTGCATGCAGGCCCTGCCATTGCCACGGTCTGAGTACAGTATCTGAGTGACAGTGTCGGTGAGAAGCTGCTCTACTCTGCTCTTGGGAAACTTCTGGCCAAGGTACAGTAGGGACAAAAGACTGCATCCTTGTTGTAAACCCAGCCCTCCCTGGGCCCACTCCACCACCCAGACCCCCACTGAGGTGAGGTGGGAGCCAAGCTGTAGACGCACAGGGCAGGCCAGGGGGTTCAGAGGCCTGCCTGGAAGGTTTGGGGATATAAGGAGAGATGGGGGGTGTGCTCCCTGGCGCCTCACCCTGGGCTACTGGAAAATCGGAGTAGCAGCAAAGAGTTCCAGAAATGGGCATCCTGGTGGCAAAGTGGAGAAAAGGAGCTGAGGCCTAGCAGGGCAGAGCCATGTCCAGGAAAGCTGTGGGCCGTGAGCTGCCTGTATAACAGCAGGGGCTGGGGCTTAAAGCGGGCTTGGAGAGGAGAGCCCAAATCCCCCCAGGATTGTCAGAGCTGCGGAGCTTTGGCACTGGAGCAGGAGTGACTGCCTCCAGCTCGAGTTTTCTGGGACACACCCAGCTCATCCCACCAAGGCCCAAGCACTGCTCTTCACCTCTGCCTGGTACGCCAGCCCTTGCCAGCCCGCCACTTCCTCCATGCCTTCTTACTGGAAACTCAGCAGCTTCTACTGGTACTGTATTCTCTAGGACCAAGAAATGATGCTGGCAAGACATCTGTCCTGGATTTGCCTTACATCCTGCTGGATGCGCTCAGTGGAGTCACAGGGACCCAATGGGTACAGGGAGAGAGATGGGGGCTCCCTCACTCTCTTTTTCCCTCTCTCTCCTTCCCTTTCAAATAAGTAATCTGTGCCTGCAATGAAACCCAGCCTCTCCAATATGGAATGTGGACATCTTAACACCTCCAGATTTTGCTTCCTTTTAAAGGTTGGGCTAAGTATCCTCTGTATGAAAGGGCCATATCTTATTCATCCATTCTTTAGGCTATTGTGGGTGGCTCACCAGACCAGCACAAAAATCCAAGCCTCCCTACACAACTTGGCAAGAACTCCTGTTATTCCTCAGCTTGGTATAGAAATAAAAAGCCGGGAATCTGTTGCAGACAGAAGTTTATTTGCGAAAGGACCAGGTGAGCAGGGAAGGGAGAAAGAAGGGGAAGGACCTCCCAAGAGAAAACTGGGAGATGGGATGAGGAGAGAGAGAGAGAGACACCAAAGGTTTGAGAAAGAGTCTTAGGATTTTAAACATTGCCTGGCCTCTCCTTGTTGGGCGGGGAACCTACAGGTAAGATGTTCCCCATTGGTGGTCTCTTAATTAGCTAGAAAAATGGGTGGGCAATGCTGGTGCCGCCCACCTGAAGCTGTGGCCAAGACCTCAGCAGGCCTTTATGGTCGCCCAGCCCTGCCTCTCAGCGCTTCATCCTCCACCACCCCCACCCTAGGCGGCATCTGGGTCCAAGTGGAGGTCCGTGGAGTCACTTCTCCTCTGGGTGAGGGGAGCATCCCTACCCTGGCCCTGGCCCCAGCCCCTTGACCCATGTTCAGTTACTTAACACCACTGACTTGTTTCCCACAATGGCCACAAAAATGTGTGGGGCAGGGACCCCCAAGCAAGCCCTCATCAGCTGCCTCCCCAGCGCATGAGCAAGAAAGTGGATGGGAAGGCAGGCAGTGAGGGACTCCAATTGGCGCTTGTGATATTTGAGATGCTGGGAACTCAAGCCGCGGATCAACCTGTTGGGGCACAACATGCATCCCCCACCGGCCGTTTGTCCCGCAAGACTGGGCAAGTCCCGTCCGCTCCGACCCTCAGCTTTCCCGCCTGCAGCGGGCACGGACCATGGAAGGAGGCCCTCAGCCGGCCGAGTCAGACGGGGCGGGCTCACCACGCGACGCCCGAGAGACGCGCGTCAGTCATTGGAGGAGCTTTCCGGGGCGGGGCTTGAGTGAGGAGCGGAACTCGCTAGGAGGCGCCCTAGCTGACAGCGGTAAGAGGCGGGATTTAGAGCCTTGACGATGCGTCGGCGGGGCGTGTCTTGAGTTGGGGGCGTGGCGCAGAGTCCCGATGACGACACCGGTGAGGCGTGTCTTGGGTGGGGTGTGTGTCCTGGGCGGGGGCGTGGCGCAAAGTGCCGATGACGACACCGGCGAGGCGTGTCTTGGGTGGGGTGTGTGTCCTGGGCGGGGGCGTGTCTTCGCGGGGGCGTGGCGCAGAGCCCTGATGACGACACCGGCGAGGCGTGTCTTGGGTGGGGTGTGTTTCCTGGGAGGGGGCGTGTCTTGGCGGGGCGTGACGCACCGCCCTGCCGGCCACGTCGCCCTGACGCCGGAGTGAGGGGCGGGTTCTAGAAGCCCGGCGGCGACGCAGCGGACGCTGCCGGGGAGGGGACTTGAGGGAAGGGGTGGGGCTCGCGGCCCCGAGCGGGCGGCGGTCACCGGAGGCCCAGCGGGCGGCTGACGGAGGGGCGGACAGCCGGGGCGGCGGGGCTGTGCCGCGTCGTCGCCATGACAGGTGGGCACGGGGCTGAGCGGGGCGGAGGGGCTGAGTGACCTTGGCCGTTTCTTGTAGGCGGAGTGGCGGGGATCTGCGCGGCAGGGCAGGGCGCTAGGTGTGTCCCAGGACGCCGAGCTGCAGGTGGCTCCGCCGCAGGCTGCAGGGCTCCGGTCCGCTGAGGGTGGGATACACCTGAGGAAGCAGGAGCTGTGTCGTGGTGCGGATGCTCGAAATGGGATTTAAAACCCGGGAAGGTAAAGGTGGGTGGGGCTTGGTTGTTCTCCGAGAGTGGGTGAGATCCGGGAGCGGACAGGGACTGTTAGGACTCTGGCGGGGCGACACAGGCGCACCCTCACAGCTCACCCGGGGGATGCCGGCTGCGTTTGCCTGAAATCTGGCTCCTTCCCGCCCTCTCCGGGCCAGGAAGGAATCAAAAGTTGCACTCCCACTCTGTGGGCACCCCAGACAGACCTGGGGGCATGGGACAGAGTGCACTTCCAAGGTTGTTGTGATGTATGATAAACCCCATGGCAGCTCCATTGAGGAATGTGGGGAGCTGACAGAAGCCTCACCTCCTTAGAGCCTGACTTCTGCACCATGAGGTGGTCCAGGGGGCCAGGATGGTCCCACAAGTTCCCCAGCCTCTCCCTGGTGCTCACTGTAGCTTAGGCTTAGGTCCTGCTGGGTTAGAACCTTCCAGGATTCCAGGCAGAAGAGGTCCCAGCTGCCACTGCTGGCCTGTCCTCTCTCCAAACCGTCTGTATTTGCAGCTGCTTGTTCTGAACATGCACTGTGCACCGTGCACCAGGGCTGGGATTGCATACATTGCTGCAAGTGCCCCTGTCACTTGGCTGGTTGGTGGTAGGCACCCTGCCTGGGACCCTGCTGCCACAACTCCCTTAGCAAGTGCATCACCCAGCCCCAAGGAGGCCTGTCCAAGGGACTGGATGTCGGTGGGACCTAAGGCAAGCCCACCCCAGAGAAGCTGGCAGTCAGGGAAGGCTTCCTTCAGCTGCGAAGCCACTGCCTGGCAGGGTCCTGTGGACACAGACTTTGAAAACAATGCACCTACTTTTTCTCCCTGCTGTCCACTTGCTGGGATTTTATACACTGCTCACATTTATTTTCAGATAGTAAGCAGGCACAGAGAATGCAGGCCTGGAGGGTCCGCTGGGCAGCCCCCCAGGCTGCAGACTCCTGGGTCGGCGCCTGCCCCTTGAGGCTCTGACTGCCAGCGAGTTGTGTAAGCTGACACCTCCAGCACACGGGCTGGTGTTCACTAAGTGCTGGCTGTCTTAGGCTGGGGAGCTGGGACAGGATGACCCTGTGGAAAAGATTGGGGAGGGGAGGTTGGTGCGGAAGTGTCCCCCAAGCCACAGTGAGAGGTCACTTCGGGAAGACAGCGGCTGAGCAGGAATTAATAATCTGTGTCCGAGGTGGGGCTCTCAGGCAGTATGGCAGGATTGAAGGTGCCAGCTAAGAAGGCGCAGTGGCTTGGGAGGCCAGGTGAGGACAGGCAGGGCCGCTTCTTCAGGGCCCCCAGTGCCATGCTGAGGACTTTAGTGTGGGCGGAGGAATAGGGCCGGGGTCGTAGTTCTGGTGCTAATTAGGCAAGAATGGGCACTTGGGGCTTGTCAGAGAGACTGTGGCTTGGCGCGGTGAGCAGTCAGCCTGGCACCAAGGCTGGTTCCTTGCTTCTGAATTTTGTGCCCTGCAGTGCCCAGTGTGTAGTTTGCTAGCGCAGCTCACAGGAACTCCAGGAAGTACAGAGCTCTGGGCTGTGCCGCCTGTGCCAGGTGACTCAGGGCGGTGGTGACTCAGGGCTGCAGTGACTCACAGCTTGTGGGCAGCGGAGGCCCCACCGGGCTGGTGGTTCCCGGAAAGCAGCAGGCTGCCACGGGGTGCTGGCTGTCAGCCTCCAGCAGTCCTCAGCCTTGGACCTGAGACAAATTATTCCAGAATTCTTGAGTGAACACCTACTATGTGTCCAGCCCTGTGCATATGGCCCAGTGCATGCTGGATGGACAGCCTTGGTTCTCTGAGCTGATTACAACCTGGTAATCCATGGGTTGGTGAAAAGGACACGGAAGGCTTGCAACACTGCCGTACTTGGTCCCTGCCTCGGATCTGCTGCTTTGCTAGCCGACTGCAGTGTTGGGTAATGGTCTTATTGTCTTGCTATACCTTAGGTTCCATCTCAAAATGGAAGTGGTGGTCAGGATGCAGAGCTGGCAAGCAGAAGCAGAGTGTTGAGCCCACTGAGTGCCTGGCACATGATTGCCCTGTGTGCATTTGACTGTGAGAAGAGAGGCTGGAGGCAGCGGACCTGCTGGGCAGCCCTGTAAGGCAGTGGTGGGCTGCTGGCAAGTTTGCCTTTGCCATCAACTGTGGGAAGCCCAGGCCCTGCCACCTCTTCCTGTGACTATGGTGACGGCCTGAAGTAGATGATCTGATTTAGTGGTTGGAGAGCTTCTGTGTGGATTTGGGAGGCAGTGAGCATGAATCAGACAGCCCCGTTGTTCTGTGGGGTCACTAGGAGAGTACAGCCTCCTCTCCCACATCAAGAGCCCCTGGGGAGGGGGCTCTGATGCTTGGGGTGGGAAAGTTCAGAAACCAGCCCCAGGGGAGGAGGGAACGACCCTGCTTTATACACAGACAAGGTTATTGTGAGGGTCACCGTGTGGACAAGCAGATGCTCTCATTCTTAGTGCACATTTGTCAAGGTTTTGATCATGTCTGCACTCCGTTAAGCATGGCAGAATCAGAACAGAACATTTCTCTCCCCGGAAAGTTCCCCCATGCACTTCTTAGGGAATCCCAGCCCAAGGGTTGATCTGCCTTCTGTGAAACCTATATTTTCTTTAAAATTCAATAATGAGATTTTCAACAAAAATTGTGAAATGTATTTATTTGAAAGGAAGATTTACAGAGGAAAAGAGAGATCATCTGTGTACTGGTTCACATTCCAAATGCTACAACAGCCAGGGCTGAGCCAGGCTGAGCCAGGAGCGCCCTCTGGGTCTCCTCATGCCAGGGGACCTCATCCACTGCCTCCCAGGCACATTAGCAGGAGGCTGGTTCAGAAACCCAGCATGGCCAGGCCTCAAACCAGGCACACTTACGCCGGCTGTGTATCCCAAGCAGAGACAGTACGCGGAACTACAAGGCCCAGCCCAGGTTTTCTTTTTAATCAATGGCAGATTTTGTTCAGTGTGCCCCCCTCCCTTTAGTAACATAGCGCATTCGTGTATCATAATTAACTACAATCCATAGTTAATGGTTTAGCGGAGTTCTTGCCCTGTTGTATGTTCTGTGAGTTTCGACGGGACAGTGACACTAGAGAGATGGGACATTACACATTTGCCCCCATCTCCCTGTGGCTCCTGACCTTCTGCTTGCAGTTGTTTAGGCTGTGCCCCTGGAGATGGAATGACCACATCATGTGGGACTTGTATGTGATCATTGCTAGGGAGCTGATGTGTGTTCTTGCATGGCAGCTGTGCTGTCATATGTTTCTGGCAGCCAGGCACAAGAGCTCTGCTTCCTGCAGGCTCTCACCTACGCTGGTCACCTTAATATAGAGTTGTCTGCTGAGTACCAAGGGTTATCTCACTGTGCCTTTGATTTGCAGGTCCCTGATGAGAAATGATGTGAGCATCTTTTCACGTCCTTCTTGGCCTGCTGTATGTCCTCAGAGAAGTGTTCAGTAGTTTCAGGCACTTTTGAATTGCATTGCTTGTGCCTTTTGGTTAAGTTGTGGGTGTTCTTTATATAGCCTGGGTATTAATCCCTTATGACGTACATGCTTTTGAAATTTTCCATTTCTTTCTTTTCAGCTGCTTTTCATTTCTTTTTAACTTTTAAAAAATTTTTCTTTTTAATATTGTTTACATGGTTGAGAAATGTGCCCATGTGTACTCTTTTGAAAATTATTTTTAAGATTTATTTTTACTTATTTTATTTTTTAAAAGATTTATATGATTCATTCCCCTAGTGACCACAGTGGCTGGAGCTGAGCCAGTCCAAAGCCAGGAGCCAGGAGCTTCTTCCGGATCTCCCATGCGGGTGCAGGATCCCAAGGCTTTGGGCCGTGCTTAACTGCTTTCCCAGATCACAAGCAGGGAGCTGGATGGGAAGTGGGGTGCCAGGATTAGAACCAGTGCCTATATAGGATCCTGTGGTGTGCAAGGCAAGGACTTTAGCTGCTAGGCTACTGTTATGGGCCCAATTTATTTTATTTTTGATGATGTTTACATAGTTGAGAAGGATGTATGCCCACGTGGACCCCCGATTAGGGTAGTGAGAGTCAAGGAACAGGGGCAAGTGGATGAAACATTGCTTCCACTTTCTTTTTTCTTCCTGTATCTGGAGGAAGAGGAGAGAGAAGAGAGGGCTGCTCCCAGCAGCCTAACTGCATCAGTACCTGGGGATGGGGACAGCCACTTGATGTCATCCCAGGGTACTCAATGTGGCACACGTTCTGATATTGCTTATGTGGTTTCAGTAGTTCTGAGATGCTGTTGATGCTGTTGCTCCAAGGTTGAAGCAATCCTTCCAAGGTCTGCTGGCTGACATAGTCTACCTTAGAGTTTCCACTAGTCCAGATACTTGATGTTAAAGCTTGGCCAGGAGAGTCGTTCTGCCCTCCATGGTACTTGATGTCCTCTGCAGGCCTCAATGACCTGTCATCTCCTCTGTGTACATCTGGGCATGCTGTCCACTCCGGGCTGCAGCAAACAAGGAGGCCCATTCTGACACATGCACTCTTAGGGTCAGACCACATATCCTATGGTTTTCCTAGTGGTTGAAGCTCTTCCAGTGATCCAGTTGAGGGGTATACCCAAAGAAATCTTGCCTGAGGTGAACCCAGACCTGATTCCTGTGTGTGCCAGCTACTGGGGGATCTGGCTTAGTCCACCACCTACAAAAGCCTACCCATACACTGGTGTTTGCAGTTGCCCCATCAGTTCTGTCCCTAACCCTATCTCATGCACAAGCCAATGGATGCTGCTGCCCAC